GGGGGGGGGGGTGACGAACAACTTGTGTACATTGATACAGCAGGAGTGGGAGCCGTTTATTGAAGGCCTGCAGGGGTATATATACATTCCACACAGCTTACCTTATTTAACATAAACTTGATACAGCAGTCAACCAATAAGGAATCTCCACACTTAATGGCTCGCTGGCATTACTTCACAAACCACTCCCTCTGGCAAAATGCCAGGCGCCATCCTGACTTGTTTACAGACTCTAACACTAAATGACTGTCAAGTAGAAAAAAATGTAATGATGAACTTCTGATTGCCATGTATGTGTATTAATTTTCTTGAGTTAAAAAGTACATAAGAGGGCTGGCGTTGTGGCTCAGTGTAGCACATATGAGGCACTGAGTTCGATCCTCAGAACCACATAAAAACAAATAAATAAAATAAAGGTTAGAAGAGAAAAAATGCTTAAAAAAAACAAGTACATATGATAAAAATGAAGTATACACGTTTAGGATTTAAACAGATGATAAATTGAAATCATGGTAGACAATGAGATACAAGGACAATATATGAGTTCCCTATAGCTGCTGTAACAAAGAACCATAAAGTTGGTGGATTAAAACAACATAAATTTATTTTCTTTTTTTATAAAATATTTTCTAGTTATAGATGGATACAATATCTTTATTTTGTTTATTCATTTTTATGTGGTGCTGAGGAACGAACCCAGGGCCTCACATGTGCGAGGCAAGCGCTCTGCCACTGAGCCACAACCCCAACCCCATAAATTTATTTTCATACGGTTCTGGAAGTAAGAAGTCAAAAATTAATTTCCCAGGCCTAATATCAATGTACAAGCAGAGGTGGTTACTTCTGGAGGTTACAGGGCAGAAGTAGTTCCTTTCTCTTCCAGCTTTTAGAAACTGCTTGCATTTCTTGGTATGTGATTCCATCATTTCCAATCTCTGCTCAGACTACACTGCCTTCTCTGACTCCTGTGTTCTTTTTATAAGGACCATTGTGATACCACAAGTTCCACCAGGA